TAACATACAGAATAACAGAGTTGGAAGGGACCTTATAGGTCATCTATTCCAACCCTCCACACCCAAGCAGGAGATCCTACACCATCTTCTTGGGTGTCTTTGCAAACAATCAGCGAAATGCCTGTCGAAAGGAATCAGAGCATATTAAATCCAGATGGGTGTTAAAACCCAGAAGACATCACCAATCTCTTTCCTACTGCTGCAAACCTGTTGCCTCTGATAGATATTACCATCATTTTGTGATGCTTTGCTAAGTCTTTTGAACAAATTGTACAACATCACACATTTTTCACTGTTTGTCATTAGGAGTTTATTCATTGATTCTGGTGAGATATAGATGAGATATAGAAGATCCTCTACCAATATTTTTTTTTAACCTTCAGCCTGCAGGAAGCGAAGGGCTGGCCTGATGGCATAGCACCCAACTTTGCCCTATACAACAATAATTAAGTATCAGTTTAAAGCAGACGGTTATTATTATTATTTTCTGCATGAGGCATAGCAGCTGCTGTATTTCAATCAGATGAGAAACCAATCCACCAGTGGTACTCCAACATCTAGAGACCAAGTAATTGACCTCTTTATGGAGCACTTGGACTAGGATTTGCCTGTGGCCAGCAAGAGCAGGGGCCAGCAAGAGAAACACATTTATTCTCATGGTCCAGCTTTATGATGAAGCAAGGTATTCAGCTATTGATATATCTTCCCGTTCTCAGCATGGAAAGCATTTTCTCCAAGGATTCTTCTCGTGTAGACTCAGTGCCTGTGCTAGTCTCCTTTCCCCCAAACAGTACAACAGCACCAAATGTATAAATTAGCTGCTTTCCATCAGAATGTCCTATACAAAGTGATCTAGTCCAATGAGATTTTTTTCTTTTTTTTTAAGGAAAAGAAATAAAAGCAGAAAAGAACACACCAAAAGTCTACATGCCATAATCAATGCTTTCATAAAAAGCCCTTGTAAAATATTCATGAAGCAGTCTGGTGTTGAACAGGGGAAATCTGTTCAACATCTCACAATAATATACATCTTAATTGGCTACACTAATATCCATATAGGTTCCCAAAAGAAAGGGGGGTGTTGCAGAGAGAAAGAAGAAATAAATGTCAACTATCAAAGAGGATTCCCCTAGCTTCTTTAGGTATATTACATTCTAGTTATCATGCTACACAGTAAAAGCATTGCAGACTTAACAGAATAATGGAGTTGGAAGGGACCTTGGTGGTCTTCTAGTCCAACCCTCTGCTCAAGCAGCAGACCCTATCTATTCCAAATAAATGACTGTCCAATCTTTTCTTAAAAGCTTCCAGTGATGGAGCACACACAACTTCTGAAGGCAAGCTGTTCCACTGGTTAATTGTTCTCATTGTTAGGAAATTTCTACTTAGTTCTAGGTTGGTTTTCTCCTTAATTAGTTTCCATCTATTGTTTCTTGTCTTGCCTTCTGTTGGTTGAAGAATAGGTTGACTCCTCTCTTCTTTATGTTAGCCCCTCAAATATTTGATATCATGTCAGACTTAGTCCCCCCTGCCCTAGATTAGACATAAAATGGTGACCAAAACTGGATGCAGTATTCTAAGGGTGGTCTTATTAAGGCTTTATAAAGCAGTAAAAATACATCATGAGATCTTGATTCTAGCCCTCTCTTACTGCAACCTAGGATTGCTTAAGCTTTTTTGGCTGTTGCAACCATTTGGCCATTAAGATTTCAGAGAACTTCTATCTGGGCATTATGACCCCAAACCTCTCAACTCCACAGCTTTTGTTAATTGTCAAAAGAGAATCTATAAGAACATTCTAGAAAAATGGACCATTAGCTTCTTGCAAGTGCTTCTGCGGTTCTGAAGCTTGATATTGCCAGACCTGATACAAAGCTTTATTTATTTTCAGTGGCCTGCGGGGTGAGTTGAGGTGGGATGGGGGTACACAAAAGCAGTCAGCTAATCAGGTGGCTCTGTTATTTATTACTTGTTTATACCAAAATATTTTCATATATAAAATCCAAAGCTGGGGTGGACAGGTGCATGGTTGTATCATGAATAACTGTGGATGCATGCTTCAATTTATAGGCAAACAATTCCCTTTAGGTGTCTCTAACTGGGCACAATATTTGCATGCTACCTTTAGAAAAGGATATATCCAAAGCTCAAGGTATGTCAGCATTTCCATTACAGATAAAAAAATTCAATTACAGATTCAGAATTTATTATGTACACATGGAAATAGTACTTATAAAAGAGAGAAGGGTTTGTGTCTGAGGCTGTCAATACTGTGAAGGATTGGGTGATTATAAAGCAAATTAACAATACTTTTAAATGTGCATTCACTTATCTTTCCAATTAAATCCTTATTAAACAACTGCACAGACAGTAATGGTACTCCTGCAAAGCATGGATCAAGACAGTTTTATTGTAATTTTTACTTTGTAACAATTTATCAAGCAGTTATTTCTTTACTATTAAATCGTTTTGTTAATAAATATTCTCAGTTCACCAAAGTATTTGTAATTCTCATATTGCTTTATTTTGTTATGGCTACAGTTTGTATCTGAATGTTATATTAGATGCTGGACCCTCCTGGAATAATTTTATTTTATCACTAATTACTGTGGAAAATAAAATTGGCTATTATTAATACCAGGTGGCCTATTGCTTTATAAAGATCTGCCATTCTCTTTTAAAATCTCCCAGTTCTAATAATAATCTTTTTGTTTTTAAAGAAGGCATCATGTTCTTTGTAGATAATAAACACTGTCTTTTTTCTAAAAAAAAAAAAAACAACAACCCAAAGTTTTTTCGTAATGAATGTATATAAATACTGCAAATGTGACAATTGATCTATAAACAGCATATATATCACTACTTCCATTCTCTGTCCTTCGGCTCATCACAAGAGACCATCCAGGCAGAAACCCAATATTTTTTACTGTTGCCTTTTTGTTACATTTGTTGTATTTAGCCTAATGGCTAAGATGTCTGCCTAATATGTAATATAGCCCAGGTTCAAATCCCAGTAAGGGTATGGCTAGCTGAT